GGAGGTGAAGCTCTCCATTTCCTACAAGAACAACAAGCTCTTCATCATGGTGATGCACATCCGAGGCCTGGTAAGTGCCATGCACACCAGCAGCAGCAGGCACCACACCAGCTCTGGCTCCATGTGCTGGTATGGTGGAAATAACTGGGATTTATTTGGTCTCTCTCTCCTACAGCAGCCTATCCAGGATGGGAATGACCCTGACCCTTATGTCAAGATCTATCTGCTGCCTGATCCCCAGAAGACCACTAAAAGGAAAACCAAAGTGGCTCGAAAAACCTGCAACCCCACTTACAATGAAATGGTATGGCTGACTGCTTGGAGCCCCCGCTCTGGGCATGTGGGTACAGGCCATTCACCAGGCAATCTATAGATAGGCCTAGCAAGGGGGTGAGAAAGTTCAGGGTGGGTTTGAAGGGCACCAGAGCGCTGACAGTAGGACAGGACTCCCCCACCATTGTGTACCAGAGAGCTTTGCTCTCCTCGGGTACTGAGGTCCTATCAGGGAGGGCCTCCTTCACCTTGCCCTGTGCTGTACCTTGCAGCTGGTCTACGACGGGATTCCCAAAGGTGATCTCCAGCAGCGGGAACTGCGCCTGAGCGTCCTGAGTGAGGAGGGCTTCTGGGAGAACATCCTTCTCGGGGAGGTCAGCATTAAACTCCGGGACCTGGACCTCACCCAGGAGAAGATGGGCTGGTTCGCATTGGGCTCTAGGAGCCACGGGACCATGTAAGAAGAGCAGGGGGCAGCCGCGTCGGAGGAACCACACCAGCCCCACGATGCTGGTGCTCACTGTGCTGGGCCGTGGGAATGGGCGCGCATCCCAGGAGTTGTATCCTGGATCCAGATGGATTTCCTTGTCCACCAGCAGGAAACAGAGATGCTCTCTCTGCCAATGAAGGGGTTTTTCTTTGTCCTGTAGAGACTGGGAATTCAGAGTCTTGATAGGAAATCCTATTGTGACTTGAAAAGGCTGCAGTAGACTTTTTTTTTTAAGTTTACCTTGTGTCAAGGGAGCAATGATAGTGGGGGTGGGGGGGAAGGGTGGCAGGAGATATTGGGGACATTTCACTTATTTTTCTTTGGGATATCTTTATTATTATTATTTTTTTTTTAAATATTGAAAAGTAGTTTGTGCCCAGATGGGGCCTGGATGAGAGAAGAGACCTGTGAGGGCAGGGGGAGGTGTGGGGTGCATCAGCAGTAAGGCTCTTGTTGGCCTTTCTCTAGGGGATTTTCTTAAAGGGATGTATATATAGGATTTTGGGGGGCGCCAAAAGGCCCGGATAAGGCCTCCTACTCTCTGGCTTAGGGGCTGTTGTGCTCATATGCAGGCTGCCTTCTCTGTTCATCCCGGAGAATTTGCTTCCAAAGGAGAGCTGTGTAATTCGTACGCGTGTAGATTCTGGATTCCTGGTGGAGGGCCGGCAAGTCTGTGAACTGTGCTCCCAGGGGATGACAGGCGAGATTATTGATTCCCTTCCCCCCTGAAATAATCCCTCCAGTACCCACTTTGATTCCAGCTGTGCTGCCTTCGCCAGGACTGCAAGGCCCCTTAGGCTGGCCTGTTAGTGATGCTGGCATTCATGCCCTTCATCAGAGCTCATTCACTGTCTGTACGTTGCTCACTGGACTGGACTGATTTGTTCCAAGCAAGAAGAAACCCAAGGACTTGTGCCGAGGAGCTGGTACGGGCTAAGCCTTGCAAGTGGAGGCAGTCAGATGTTGGAAGGGAGGGAATGATCTTACGTCTCTTGTGAGACATTGCTGGAAACTCTTCTTCTGAGCGAGAGAATCCACCTCTATGAACTAGGTGCTTGTAGCTTTGCCTGTTGTTCCGGACCAGGGGTATGGGGGCAGTGTGCATCACAGGTGTGGCCCATCGCGCAGAGGTGGGGAGGGGACTTACTGCCAGATCCATGAAAGGATTACCCTGGAGTTGAGCACTGACACCCTTTGTACTGAGGCTCCTCCAGTGGGCCATGCTGGGGAGAAGGAGCTGAGAGCACCAGGAAAGCGGTTCTGCTCCTCTCCCAACCCCTTCTTGTCAATCTTGTGAGTGAGAAACTTTGGTAGGAAATGAGATTTGGTTTGGTCCAATTCAGACCAGGGGGAGCGGGTGCCCGTTTCTTAACCATGGCAGTTTTTAAATCCGGTTTTAAGAGAGGCCCTTTCCCACCCAGTGTCGGAGCGGGGAGCGCTCCGCGTTGCCCCTCTCAGCAGTGCAGGCCGGACGGTGCATGACCACGCTCTGGGATGCTCAGCCTCCCATCCCGTCCCGGCAAGCCCGCTGGGCGCCCTTGGTGCTTTGTTTACAGTGAGAACTCCGTAAACAGACGAAACGTTTCTCAGGATCGAGAATATGAACTTACCTTTATATTAAAAGTTTTAACTCTTGTATCTAGGAGGAGAATGGGGTTGAACTAAGCTGGCGTGGGGAGTGAGAGAGGGATTCTCCCCACTTTTCCCTCACCATCTACCAGCTACAGTTATGTCTGGGGGCGGCTTCTCTGCACCTTTGCAGGTGGGTCTGAGAGAGGTGCGTTATGGAGATGTCCTAGATCTTAGCCAAGTTGCCTCGTCTCTTCAGTCAACTCTCTCCCTCGACCCACGCTCTTGGTCAGGGTGGGTGAGCTTCTGAAGATGGTGCCTGTAACTCTCTCAGTTGTAAAACAGTGGCATTCAAATAAAAGGAAGCGAATTGCAATGGACAATGTGTGGACTCCTGCATCCCCAAAGGCTGTGGTGGAAGTATTAACCTGTCAGCTCAGCTATAGTTTCAATCTCCCAGAGTTGCACTGCTCTATGAAGGAGGTGGTGGGGTGCTCTAGCAAGCTAAAAGGGGAGATAAGCAACATCCCTGTGATTCTGGGACAGGCTCAGGGTGGGCAAGTGGGAGTGGGGGGCCTTGTGAATGGAATTGTGACAGGGGCCCATCCCCAGGCCTGACCTTCTGCCTCTGGGCTACCCACCCACCTATCTCGTCTGCCACGCCTTGATGGAACAGTAGTTATGGTGTTACTCAGGTGAGAGGCTGCCCATTTACTATACCAACGCTAGGGCTCCCTATCAACCACTCCAAACCTCCCCTACATTGTGGCCCACACCTCACAGATGGTATGTAACTGTTGACCTGCACCCCCCTTTGGCGCTGGGGTCTCATCACCCCCCTGGCACTGTGCCCCCGTCTGGCACTTTGCACAGTAGTGTGCCCCAATGAGGCCTCCTCCTCCCTGAGTAGCCTCAGCCCAGTCCACCAGATACAACAGTAGCATAAATGAGCCCCTGGGCTATAACATAATACAAGTCATAAAAGCCACACTGGTTCCTTAAAACCCCAAACTGCTCCTCGCACACTAAGCACCCCCAGTTCTGGGCATCTTATAGACTTCCAGAGCCTGATTAGTCACAGCATTCTTGGGTAGTTCTGCCATGCAAGAACTCTTTTTCTCCTCCCCACTTGCCAGAGGCCTCCTCTCCCTGCTAGCCTTGGCCCTAGGATTTATATGTGCCTAGAGGCCTATCCCCTTCCTGTCAGCTGACCAGCTGGGGTGGTTGGGGTATTAATCCCTACCCTCCTGGTGCTTTCTCCTGTAGACTCGGGTCTTAATGGGGCAGCTCTGCCTCTTAGGAACAGGGGTAGGGTTCCCTGTTACAGAGATATACCATCGTTCAGCTCTCGGACACTAGTTCAAGCCCAGACCGAGCCAGCTATGAGTGAAAGAAATTATCGTGTAATGTCTGCCGTGGTAGACATGCTGTGAACAGAGTTTCAGCTCATCTCACTGTGTAGTGAGGGGTCTTGCTGGCATACTCGCTCTCTGGCTCCAAGGCTGGCACTTGGAAGAGAAGCCAAGGACAGGGTAGGTTGTGGACACCAAACTTCTAGTCTCACGTCTTTGAGTCAGAGTCGAGGTGAGAGACGCTGTTGACTCACCTATCCCAAAAAGGGGACTCGTGTCCCCTTGGTTTTCAAGCCAGTTCTTGCTAGCACTAAACCAAAGATAAAAAGCTGTCAAGGAAACTATAGTCCAGGAGAGAAGATGAAAACAAGTGCAAAGCATGAAGTACAGGAGAAAGGGCAATTATTCGAGATGTCCATTGCCAGTGGAAGGAGACTGGGGAGGACAGTGCAGTCACCAGAGCTTACTTAGCTCGGCTGTATTGCTGCCCAAGGCTGTTGCAATGGGAACGTGAAACCCATGGTACAAACATAACTGGTGCTTAAAAGGTCATGTGTCACTACAAGCTCAGGTGCTACATCACTTGTAGTTACAGCTTGTTCCCATAAATACCCTCTGAGTGAATGGGTGCCTCTGGGTGCAGTGGCATCTCTTAGCGGTCACTATTATGGCACCTGCCTAGGGCGCATTCGGGCTGTTCAGCAAAGGCTGGAGGAAAGGACAGATCCATCAGCTGGGTTTGATGCAATCCAAGTCGGAAGTACTGCCTCACAGATTGATCCCTGTGAGGGAAATAAGACAAAAAGCTAACCTTTGTGAGCCCAAGGGTAGGTTGTACCTCTGTGCTGGCTATCTGTCCCCCTCAGTATTTGATCTGTTTGGCATCCTGAGGAAAGCCAGGTGTAAATTAATCCAGCATCTCTGGCCCAGCCTAATTACTGCCTTAAGAAAAGTGGCCTCTAGATTATGAAGCCCATTTTGTGTCAGGATCTAAATAAACCCAACTGTCTTCTCTGTTCACTGAAGGTTAGTGAACTAGTCCAATTAGCCCTTATCCCATCCCCTTCCACTCAGATAAAAAGCAATTTCTTGCTTAATGATGTTGTCTGGACTACAGTTACTAAATGTAACCTGAATGTCTGCACCCTTGGTGAATACTTGGATGGGAGGAATATCTTAATCACAGGTTACAGCGCTAATTAATGTGCTGCTTGACTCAAAAGCTGGTGCTTACGCTAGGCTTACTACAATGCCCTGGATGGTCACTGTCATATTTGTTTAATGAGGAAGCTAATCTGCTTTTTCCTGTTCACCTGACCTTTTAGATCCATGCTCACTCATTCCATATAACTGATGATTAGGAGTTTCTGACTCAAAAAAATAAAACATTGTCCGAGAAGGTCATGGGAGAAAATTATTTTAAATCGACGTTGCTATTAGTTTGGCGGTGGATGGACTGTTCTCTTGGCAAGAGTCTCGGACAAGGCAGGTCTGAGTTTCCCTTGCAGAGCAGGTACCTTACATTTCGTTTGAAGACTGACAGCTCGCTGGTTTTGACAACGCACCAGAAACATATGAGGGTAGCTCACAACTCCAGGGCCTTCCAGCTTCCTGCTCTATAAACCCTCACTTATTCTCATTAATGCTGAGAAGCAGGCAACTGTCATCACTATTTTACAAAGAGGAAAACTGAGGCCTAAGAGAGGGTTTAAGGCCTAAGTTTTCAAAGGCAGATGCTGATTTGGGTACCCTAGATTCACCTGCCTGTTTTTAAGGGCGGGCTGAGCTCTTACTATGCTAACATCAGGGGAAGCTGCAGGTGCTCCGTGTCTCTGAAAACCAGGCCAGCTCCCAACATTAACAGACATTCTGATAGTGTGAACTTTCAAGGCTTGCACAAGAACACAGTAAAGTGCTGGTGATGAACAAAATTCGATGATCCCAGTCCCCAGTCCCCTGCTCTAATCACCTGCCCATACTCATGCCAAAGTCTTCCTTTATTTTAGGAATCAGAACTCGTGATAGAGGTGATATCTTTTATTAGACCAACTAGATTTTTGCAATTTTTAACTGCAAGCTTTTGGAAACAAGCACCCTTCTTCAGGCATAGGAGAAAAGATTGTAAAAGTTCTCTTTATTTTATGCACTTGAAACTGCCTGCCTTCTCCTGTGTGGAAAGTCTTAAGAATAGCCAGGGTCAAACTTTTCAGAGTTTTCTAAGTGTCACACCATGTTTCTTTCTGTTAAACATGCCTGTTTTATGTCCACAGCTTCTGCTCCCCCAAAGCCAAAATCTCCTGCTACTTCACTGTTGTCTTTTGTGCACAGTATGTCCTGCTTTACCCTGAACAGTCAGTTCTACTCTAAGCAGCATTCACTCAATTACATACATGATAAAACTGCCTGCAGCCAAATCCCCTGCTCCTTTCCTGGGTTTCTTCACTTTCACCTTTAACCAGTGCCACATCCTAATACAATGATTGACCTAGGTTGATCTCTGCCTGGCAGCTTGATCACTGTGTCCTTGGCAAATGCACTCTGATGCTATGGTTACCAGCCTGTTATCACTATTTGCAGAACAGACTCACGCGATGCTTGCTGATGGTAACAGGTATTGGCTTTTTTTTTTTCTCCCTCACACTTTCAATTTAGCTTTAAGGTCGCTTTTTGCCTTTTAACAAAATAAAAGACAGTTTAAGGAAAGATTAACCCTGTCTGGCTTAGCAAAGTGTCCCATGGAGGGAGTGTGATTATGTTCAGAGGAAACTGCACAAAGTTGAGCAGAATTGTTTAGGGCAGTGCAAGGTAGCATTATTGGGACAGCGTTGAGAGAGAGGAAATTTTAAGATGGTTCTCAGAAAGAATTGCCTGACAGACTGTGGAATAGGCTCCCAAAGGACATAGGAGCTGATGAACCCCCACGTGTTGGACTATATAAACTGGAGAGAGTAACGTATGCTGCAGGGAAACGTGCTGTATCGGCTCCCCTGAGATCAGGCCACCTAGTCTTTTCCTTCAGGATCTGTTTACTAGTCTGCCCTGCACAAGGACAGTGTTTTCCACACTCTCTGGCTGCTCTCCCAGCTCATTCACCATGCACTTGCCCACTCTGGCCTCCTTTGCCAGCTCTGCCCCCACCAGGGAGAGCTGCTGTGATATATTAGGCTGCTAATGCAGTGGGGGCAGCATGATAGAGGTAGGAGGGTATTGGGAATAAAAGGATCTGACAAAAGCTGTGGCTTTCCACAAAAGGCCAGGCACGTACAAGGGCTCCTGCTGCAATCCCAAGCTCACTGGGAAGGCCCCTGCTACTAGAATAAGCCAGCTGTCGGCAGGGTACCCCAGGGCCCCCAAAACTAGGGCTGGACAAGCCTTGCCTGGGCTCTGGGGAAGCTCGCTCAGTAGGTCTCAATTTTTTGTTTAGTTTTGCAATTTCTCAGCTGGTCTAATAAAAGGTATCATCTCTGAACCAAGAGCTCTAGATTTCTGCAGCAATTTTTTGCCTACATAAAAATAAGAGGGCAGCTTTTCCGTTGCAAAGAGCTGAGCCATGATCGGGGCTAACCCAGCGCAGCTTCCCTGCAGGGAGCTTGAGGCACCCCGGGGTGCAGTGCTGGATTATGACACGATGAGGCCCTAACCTATGCTCACCTTAAGAGACCCCACGTGATAAAAGTAATCCACGATTTTCACGAATTTAAAAAATGGATTCTTGTTATTTCTGCACACATGCATGAACTCAAGATGAATAATAACTATGCAGCTATACAGATGTTTATTTTTGTCATAGTCGAACGAAAATGTCCGTTTTGGGGTTTTTTCTGATTTCGAAGCCCCTCATATTGCTGACGCCTCCACCCAGCCCTGCCCCACTCCCTGCAGGGAGCTCAGGGCACCCCGGGGTGCCGCAGCCCCAACAGGGTGCAGTTCCGCCGAGCGGCCACAGGGGCCGCTGCGGGACAGCCGGCTCCGCGCATGCGTGCCGGGCTGGCGCCTGCGTACTTCGCCCGCCAGCCGGCTCGGCTGATGCAATCCCCCAGCTGCGGAGCGGGGCGGAGAAAGGCAGCCAATCAGCGGGGTCCCGGATGCCGCGGGAGGCCCTGCCCTAAGCTGCGAGCACTGGTCGAGAAGCCGTTTAACGGCTGCCCGGGCGCCGCCGCCATTTTGGGGCGCTGAGGGGGCTATGCGGGAGCGGCTGCGCTGAGGGCTCGTCGCGTGCCGCCATGGAGCCGGGAGCCGCGGGCCCCGCATCGCCCAGTTCCTGGCTCGGCCTGGCTTGGCAGAAGCTGGCTCCCACCGCCGCGCAGCCCCCGTCGTCGTGGCTGCGGGGCCTGTCTCAGCTGGTGCAGTGGCTGTTGCCGGGCCCGGCGC